GACCCCGGGGTCGGGACATTTGACTTTGACCGATAGAAGTCTGGTATCATTTCAGAAGCGGTAACCAAGTCCGTCCCTCGAGGCTTTCTGAAAGTCACGCTGTTGGAGAAAGTTATGAAGTTTTCATTTGTTTTAATCGCCATAATCCGAAACTTTACTTGTACACTGTCATCTAAACAGATAATGTCTATTTTGAGAAAGTTTTTATCTTCAAGTTTCCATCTGATTGTAAACCTCGATTGAAATCGAATTCTACCATGAAAGTCAGAGGATTTTTTACAGGTCACTGATCCGGCCTGTTTTGACATGTTGAGCCGATGTTATAAAGTATTTTACGTTTCATTAATATAATAGCACGGTCAATCTTCCTGGAGCGATTATGTTGTTCAAAATAAGAGATGCTAGTGGAGAGAGAAAATACTTAATTAAAGCGAGTAATTTAACGGAGCTTACGTTAACCTTAAATAAAAGTAGTAAGAACGTACTTTTGAAATGTTCTTTCATTCTTTTGATATAGTATTGTTTGTTTAGATTTTTCCCCTGGGGTGGGTTTTTTTTGACACTTTTGATTGACCTTTCGTTTCCCACCCTGGGGAATTTGATAAAAAAATTATAAAATTTGTCAAATCCCCACCCCTTACCCGCACTCTCCCTCCCCCCCACGGGGTTTACATAGATAGGTGCATCATATCTTTATAGTCCGGTAACTTATTTACTTTGTTTTGTCATTTTATTGTATTTTAAGTCTTTGTGTCGCTATTGTAACGTGACGAAACTTGTTGACTTTTATTGAAAGAAAACGTATTTCATCCAAATGGTACGCGAGAGTACATTTTCAGGCAAGTCCAGCGATATTGCATGGGCAAACAGAGATGGATCAAAGGGATCCCAACCTTACCGTGATGGAGTGGATTGCGGGTCTCAATGACCTATAGAGATATGTCGGCTGGATGCTTAGACTCTTGGTAGGGCCACTGATGCCGATCAGGTCGAATATTAGAGACCAGACTAAGTGTGGTTCCCTGGTCTTCCAGGTTGGGGGTTGCGCCAATGGCTGATTATCCTCTCCTGTAAAACCTTATTATTACATTAACCAAGGGAACACTGTGGCCGGCCTCACAACATGAGTGACCCCATAACAAAAGGGACCAAAATCACCAGGACACCACCGAGTCCAAAGCCTACTTGGAGGCGCACAGTTGAAAAAGAAATAAAAGAAGCGGGATGGCAATCGTGAGACGAAGTAAGGACCAAAGCAACTAACCGAGACTAAAAGTGGAAACTCTGTGGAGGCCTAATATGCCACGCGGCACTAAGAGGGTAGGTGAGGTGAACTTAGGATGAATGAAAGTTAACATACCTGGAAGTGTTGAAGCTTGTTTATTTGCCTTCCCGCTTGGCACTGGAGAACGGCCTTTATCCAAAACAGCTCCGTACAGATACCGTCTACAAAACAAAAGAGCTGGTTTACCATACACGTTCCTGTACTCGACTCGAGGAAGGTTTCATCATTAATCGTATCCTAGAGACTCCGAGTAATCAGATCTTTAATTTCTTTGTACCACTTCTTTTGCAGCCTACACACTACAGCTCTACAACATTACACGCACACTAGCCAACTTACCTATCAGGAGAGTGTTGAAGTACAACAAACTGGGTGTTGGTCGCTGAGAACTCTCGCGTCAGCTCCAGGTGATTTCTCGCGATTGTCAATCTTCGCCAAGCCTGAAACAGGTCCCATAGTTAGGCAGGGAAACGTTTAAGGTCGGCACACAATAAGCGGCAAGTTGTTACGACACAACACGTGCTTCGTGTGCACTAGAGAATTTTTGTTAAAAGCTTTGTCTCCGCGACAGTTCGCGCGAATTCATAGTGACCTAAATTTGTGAAACTCGTCAAGGCGAATTGTTGCTGCGAGGTGTCCCCGCTTTTTCGCGTCGCAGCAACTTGCCACCCGGGCGGACCTAAACACACGGACTGGACAATACCCCACCTACTGCCTCCTGATCTACGGGAACCGTTCCAAACTGACATTTTACCTCACAATCCGCCAGATGGTTTGAGTTCGAGGCGAGAACACTAGAGGACGCATCATTCAGGAACTCCATATCAGTAAGCAGTTTTCTTTGATGTAACAAAGCAGCCTGGCGTGACACGGAAGGATCCAGTTGGACACGCCTCAGCACTCCTTCTAGAACTTGAGACATCTGGCAACTCTACGACAAAAACAATAAACATGCCAGTATTTTTATTATCAGTTGGCCCCAAAATGGAGCAGTAAACGACTGTCCACGAAACCTGCTAAGGTTACAATCATGGACAAAAGTCATGGGAGAAATTTTTTTTAAAGCATTTATGCCCAAACAATCCCCTCACCCCAAAAACAACGTTGGATGCTTGTATCCAGAATTTTTCCCAAGTTTCAAAATTTTTATGGTGGGGAAAGGGAGAGAGAACTGCAAGGAATCTTCCAAAAGGTAGCACTGTTTTATAAGGGCACATAGAAATTACAGCTAATTACGAATATTGCATCACTGTCCAAAGTTTGTCTAGGATTGTAGGTAGTCGAAAGGAGCTTTTTAAGGAGGTTCCAACTAGTCTATAGTGATGACTAGGAATATTGGTCTTTTGGGCAAATGGTCGCTTACGGCAGCTGGTGGACTGTATTTGGAGTGGGGGACACAGTCACATGGCCAAATCACAGGAAAGAGGAAAACTTACATTAAGGGAAGATTTGGTGCAAATTTCCAGTAAAAGGGAACATTAGGCTATTTCGCTTTGCCAAAAAACTCTCTGTAGTACAGCATACCTGATAAAGCGCCAGATATTGTGACGATGTAAGTGGATCATGTGCTCCTATGGACTCCATAAGTTCATGAGCCGCCTTACACACAACATCCTAAAAGAATTTGACAACAAATCCGTTTTAGTTAAATATCCATGAGATATATTAATCAAATCAAGCGAACAGCTGAGAGGGACTACCAATGAAGGGGATGACACCATCGGATTCTCTCATTGAAGTGAAGTTAGATCCTTGACCATTGCTCATTGCGCTACGCAGCCAAGGAATAATTGTTCCGTTAACATTATCATCTTTAACGCATTTTTCTCTGCCCTGAACGCTGTTTGAAGTTGGCGGAGCTGAATTTATTATGAATTCAAAGATACATTTGAGGAAAATTAGCTTAAAGGCGTATTTCAAAACCATTTTGCATTATTTCGGTCTTAACTCACTCTCGGGTTCAACGGCTGATGGATGTACGGAGCTGAAGCCAGTCTTTGATTTGATCAATCGGTCACATCGATCGGCGGGGAAAGAACCAATTCACGGTTGGTTTGCCTCGGTGTAACATGAATTCAAAGTACAGCTTTTAGGAAAAAGCAAGCTTTTTACGGTAAAAAGCCGAAGTGAAACGCACTTGTGAATAAAACATGATAATGCACCACAGCATTTACATTCGCACTTGAAGTAGCATTCCCTAGCAACCTTAAAATGCACCCTGACGTCACAACTGGATGACGTCAACTGCGGACACCCAAAAGATTTATACACCACTTCCACATTTCCCATAATGCACCTTATTTGCCCCCCAAAATTTTGCACAAGCCTTGTTTTCAATTTCTCTTGGGACGGCTGTAATACCCAGGAGAAATGAAAAACAAAGGTTATGCAAAATTTGGGGGGCCAAATAAGGTGCATTATGGGAAATGTGAAACTGGCAAATAGAAATACTCGCAACTGGAGCTTCCGCCTCGCTGGAATGGAGTCCGCTTGTGTGTTTAGTGTGGGTTTATATCTCAGCATTTCTTTAGTATTAGAACCAAAAATCTCCATATTTAATATATTTTTTAAACGAGTACCACCAGACAAAACCTTATGTCTAAGGGCCTGTTTACATCGAGATAAAGGAAAAGGTGGGTGAGGTAACCCGCCTGTCCATATAATTTCTTATTTTTAATTTGATCACGTTTACATGTTAGGTGGGGTGACCCGCCGCATGTTACGTCACCTTTCTGGGGTCCCCCACCTCCCTCCATGTAAACAGGCCCTTAGAGGTTTTATCTGAATGGTCAAACATTAGGATTTTGTCCACAGACTCCAAAGTAAGAACCTTTTTACAAGACTCCATCATTAATTCTGAAAGTGAAAGGGTTTAATATCTCTTTCCTCAAATACAATACACTTTTTTCCCCGACCTACCACACGAGTCAAGGTCAAGCTTTTACAAAGGAAATTCCGCACCTTTTAGAAAATTAAAGTGCTTTTACAATGAGACAAGGAGCCGGTGACGGGCTGAAAATTACGGCCTCAATGAAAATCCCGGTTTTAATACGGCCATCATATGAATTCTCACGATAAAAATACACATAAAATCGTCTTATAGTCAGTTTTTATAGTCAAACTAGATAATTATTTTATGATTCTATTCTTGGTACCTGCCAGTCCTGGCACCTGCCGCTATAAATGGGGAAAACGCCTTTGTTACAGTCAACTTCGCCTATTGTCTGTCAAAGAGTGAAATCTGTCTTAAACAAAGTCAAATATAAGGATAAAAGAAAGGCAGGGACCGTCTCCAGATGTCCGTTTTCCTTACAACTAGGTGTCTGTCTCATAGAAGGGTCCGTTACCAGAAAGACGAGAGTGTCGCCGAGACAAAGCTTAAATATTAGTCATACTACACGTTAAATTGCGGGTTTACTTGACTCACGTGTGAGAAGGATTTCACATCGAAACATTTTTTGCCAAAAAGTCAGGCCGTTTTTTGGTTGAGATTGCCAAGCCCTGTCGTATCCGACTGAACTGCGAAAGAACAACTCAGGAGTGAACAAGGAAATTGAAAATTTGTATAACGCTTTAGCGGACTTTCGGTAATATTTCATCATAATAGATAAATTCTGCGACGAAGTCTTACTCATTCATTAACTCCGACGTGTACTTGCATTGTTGACATATATCTAACCACGGAGACGCCAATTTACAATCTTCAATAGAAACTATGGAAGATCCACGTCTTAAGAAAAATGAACTTGATACGAAGTTTGTCATTGAAGAAATGTATGGTAAGAAAGGCGCATACCCTAGTGGAGAAGGAGCAACGCTTGTACTGGGTAAGGTCGACATTACACATACTTTGACAACGCAGGTACCTTTAGGTTTGGAATCCTCAGCTTCTAACCTCTTGCAACATTGTCGTTGTTCTTCTACTCCTTCTACTTCTCCTGATTCTGCTGAGGAGTCTTCTCTAGAAGAACTATTTCGTAACCTCTCTTTGCAAGATTCTCCTTGTTATTCTACTCCTTCTTCTCCTGTTTCTACCGCCGAGGATCCTTCTTACCTCTGTCTACAAGAGTCTCTTTGTCATTCTACTTCTTCTACTCCTGTTTCTATTGACGAGTATCCTCCTTACTTCTTTCCGCAAGATTCTCCGTGTTATTCTACTCCTTCTCCTGTTTGTACTCTCACTGTTCCCTTCACCCGGATCTTGAGAAACGATCGTCATTCGCATGCAGAAATATCATTTCTTCGAGAACTCGAACGGGAGGTCCAACGACTCGAACGGGAGGGCGGAAAAGTAGAAAAGATCAACGTTGAACTGATCCAGAACTACGCACCTTGTCATGCGTGTGCGGATGAAATGATTGAGTTCAAGGAAAAAAGGGAAAAAGAGGAAAATATGGTTTCAATCAAATTGACATTTGCAAACTATTACTTCTGGATTGGATATCATCATACAAACGAGTTCGGTAAGAAGAACTTGAACAAATTAAAATATATGCATGAAAAAGGCATTGATTTACAACTCCTTCAAGGAAAAGAGTCCTGGGAAACCCTGTTCGACGACAGTGATCTAGTCGATCTTAACGGTGAAGAAAAAGAAGAGCTTCTAAACAAGGCTACCTCAGACAACAGAAAAAAAAGGGAAGAGTATGACCGGTACCTCCGCGACAAGGAAAAACTTTTTAAATCAAGTTGTAGACGTTAGTAATATCCCCATTCGCAGTTACTGTGCACCAGAGGAACCTGTGTCGGTTAAAAACTTAAAATGGCACAGTTCATCCTGGAAAACTTTCGGTGAAAGATGGTAATTCTCAGCCGTATTCTTCCTTGAAATGAAAATGGTAATTTAGCACAGCACTGTAAAACAAATTTGTGGACACATATTTGTGTACTTTGGCTTGAAAGCAAATTTTACGTGAATTTGAATGAATCCATGCGAGCTTTTTCTTATGCAGTTCGCAGGAAAAAAAATTTGAAATTTTTAAGGTTTGTGTTTAGCATAACGTTGTCAATCTTTCTCTATACAAAGTTTATGTAGTTTTTGGGAAACAATGTTACTATTTTATCTGGTTTTAGTAATAGTGTTTTCAGCTAGCCTGTGAAAAGGTTCTCGTAATTGAATAAGGCAGTGAACTCAATTGAAACAGTAGTTTATTGGGAGTATGCGTGAGTGGAAACTTCTTCAGATGTTTTCAATGTTTGTAATAATTTTTAAGGGCTTTGGCAATTTATGATAATTAATAACTACAGGGGAAGTGATGAATTGATTTTCATTTCTAATTAAACTACGCTTTGACTTAAAAAACCGCATGAAATAAATTTGTTAATGTTCACAGTCCAAGCAATAAATATTGGGCAATTAATTTAGACGACCATTCTACAACGCTACTAGTAACAAATCGAACATCGACTCTTTTCGGACACTTTCTATCGGATGTCTTACCGAAAACGGAGTTATTCACTAGCAGTAACCAATGGTTGGGAAGAGCGGGGGAACATGCGTTTACCTTAGAGATACCATTGATGTTGAGGACCGCTTTCATAATAACTGAATACTAGATGAGTTCGTGAATAAGATAGCCCTTTTAGTTTCAGTATCAACAGAGAAATTCGCCGCGGAATCATGAACGTGAAATTGAAATAAAGAACACGGTAAACAAGACCCGTAATGAGTATGTCTAAATGTCGCGGGTCGCGACTCGCGGGTAGAGGTCGCGGGTGAGGGTGCGGGTAAAGGTTGCGGGTGCGGGTAAGTGTCGCTGGTGAAAATAGATCACCAAATTTAACAAAACGATAAAATAAACAACAAAACAAACATTTGTTTTTTTAAATTTTTTAACGAAGACTAGTCAGCAGGACAAAGGAAGATTTATTGTAGTTGTACGCTTTTTCGTCTATCTCCGACACGTTTCGTCTGCTACTGAGACTTCTTCAGGGAATGAATACTGCAACTTACAAAGAACAGCATATATAAAACGTTTTCTGCGTAAGTGAAACTTCCAATAGAAGTCTGAATAATAACTTAACTATGCTGTAGACGGACATTGTAAGAAACGCCTTAATACATTACGTTATTGCGTCTCGACGTAATTTTGATTTTTCCATTTTTCCTTAACAATGAAGAGAGAAATGTACTAGGCATGGAGGAAACAAGATTTAAGACTGATCAATAGCAATATGGTAATGATGAAAAACCAACTGGCAGATTACGCATTTATGCCACCAAAATTAATTTCATTTGTCTTGATTTGCAGAAAAAAAGAAAAAAAAGAAGTATTAGTTAAAGTTAGTTGTTTAGTCCGATAGGTTTTCGGCCGTTTAAGGCGGGCACTGAATTATTACACTCCCTTTTCAATACACTTCGCTGTTACATATAGGTAATATAGAGGTCAGCGAAGGGCCAACTACTTTTTTGTAATATTGCAACTTAGTACCCTTAAACCCTTGGACGTACAAGGTAGGGGAGTGGGTGCAATCCCCGGAAGGTTTTTTGAATCAACCACCAAGACAAGTCATCACATACCCACTGCTGCTTTTCTTTTCTCTATCAGAACTTTAATCTCCTCCCCAACAAATCCCAAACGCAGGTAGCTCGGTTACTTAGTACAATTTTAACTAGCCAATGTAGTTTTAATCATGTGGATTTTTCTTTAGTGACTTTTTCCTTTGTATCGCCCTTAGATAGCTTTAAATAACTAGACTTCCTCGTTATGACCTGTGGACCAAAAAAAGTATTGCCAATCCTCTTTGAAAGACAATCAAATTTTCCTTTATTACTTCGGCGGAGCGCGAAGTAAAGGATTCGCGACGCTCAGGAATGTATCAAAGTTGCCATTTTTTGACAAGATTGGGCAAGCAAAGTCTGTAGGTTTTCGGTTCTATTCGGCTTTTTGACGAAGTGAGAGCCGAATTAGTTTGAGATATCTCGAGATCACTTCGATTTCTTTGATTTATTCTTTAACTTTTTCGAGGAAGAAAGAATTATAATTTCGGCTTTCCCGGGGTTTAAACCGACTCACCTGTGTGACCCGTCAGATCAGAGGAAACTTGAGGGATTAGCCGATTGCTCTACTGCGACCCAAGGTAGTTTGGGATATGAAAAATAGTTATGAAATGATGCACTAGTTTCGGGACAAGATTGGGCGTGCAAGTTCGTGACTTTTGACCTTGTTTCAACTATCTCACGAAATGAGACCGGACTACTTCGTGATATCTTGAGATCACTTCGAGTTTAGTCTTCAATAACTCTAGGAATAAATAGAGAACATTTCGTGGCCGCGCGGAGACACGAAATTTCTCTTCGAGTGTTGAAAAACATTTCACGAGTGAGCCCTCCTTTCGAGCTGTTTTATGATGAATTTAAAGTTACAAAATGCTGCACAAAGACATTTTGTCTTTGTTGAGTGTTACGTAGTAAAATTGCTTTCATGCGTTGCGTGACTTTCTCGAACGTTCTCTACGTTTTTGGATTACCATGAATAATTAATTAGGGCATGTTTACATTTCAACATGAGTCTGTAGATTTGCATCAGTTACTGAAATCATATAATATGTCGAAAAGCTAAGACTATTCGCCTGTTTAGTATTTTCTAGAGCCTTATGTCAAACGGTATACAAGTTCCAAGCGAGTTCTTTTGACGAACTAAGTTTTTTCCCACGAGCCGGACTGCTGTGTTTAGTCAAGTGTGACGAAGGTCGATTCTCAGGTTCTGTGTTTTCAAGTTCGTGGAAGCCGTAAGATATCTGAAGATCAAGTGAGAGTTTGTTATTATTGGTAGAGGTTGTTTTAGTTTAGTTTAGTTGTTCAAAGTTCAAGTCAAGTTTGTCTTGGTGGATGCTGTGTTTTAAAGCTCTGTAAAGGCTATGTTCCTTTGGTGTTAAACTGCCTTGTGTTAATCCGACATCCCTGCGTGCTGATAGTCAGTGAATAATTATCCTCAAAACATTCGAACTCGTGACTTTGAGTTTTAGCCAATTCCATGCTCAACGTAATTGACTCCTTACCCATGCCTTACATATCTTTAATCAGTACATGAGACTGCTATGCTGTTTTTGAAGCCTGATGTGACTAAGAAAAATAGAGAATTGTTTTTTAGAAGGATTTGTATGGAGTCATAACTGGGCTAATATCTCGGAGACAATTTGTCCCGAAATGCTAAGTTTTTGGCAAGTAGACCTCTTGGATGTTGCTCTTTTCAGAATATCCTGACAAATCCAATAATTTCACAAATTAACACCTTACCATATTTGATTTCTTACTGTTCCTCAGCATTTACAATTAATTAGTTCCACAACCACGACGCCGAAGTGTACGCTCCGTAGCGTCTTGTTTTATTAAGAATTTAATGTCAAATTTGGTGATTTATGTTTACCCGCGACCTTTACCCGCACCCGCACCCGCGACCTCTACCCGCGAGTCGCGACCCGCAACATTTAGACATACTCGTAATTTACAGAACGGGCGAAAAAAGGAGGCTAATAAGATTTTTAGCTTATAGCTTCCTGTTTGGGGGACCAGAAACAAGTGCAGGACAAGCGATTTGACAGGTGTAAGAAAATGAAAGCTTTAATTGGCTCACGAAAACAATGGTACATGACAAAAGCTTGGAAGAAAACTCAAAATGCAAATGTTGAAAAAAAAAGTTCATTCGCTCAAAACTAAGAGCATTGTAGGTTTTCGTTCGCCAATGTGACGCCTGAGTCTTTTGAAAACTGGAGATCGTGTCTGACTCAAAGTCGCTTCCATCTTTCCTTCGTTCGTCTTTGAAAAAAACATTGCAAATGCCAAAGAAGCATGTCAAGGTTATCAGGTGCAGATATGGTTGTTATCATATTTGTCCAAGGAATCGCTCGTTTTTTCTTAGGCAAAACGTCTCGAATGTCTGCCAATCGATTTTCGTGTTCTTAACTGTGTACTGGGTAAAAGTTGTCAAATTAGTATAGGTAATAGCATGATTTGTAGTGCTATTTGGCATAAATACCACGAGTGATATTTCAAAATTGTTATACGTAATTTCACGAGCCGTTAGGCGAGTGAAATTTGAGACAATTTTGAAATATCACGAGTGGTATTTATGCCAAATATCACGTACAAATCCTGCTGTTATTTGTTTATACTACTACCCGCGAAAGGTTTGTGATTTTCACACGTAGGTATTTCAAATTAAGCTGAAATACCACTGCTCTAAGCCAATCAAATTGCAGAAATTTCTCATGAAGTAGTATAACTGACTGGAATCCTCTTCTTCGACAGGATTACGATTCAGTTTCTTCATCAACATCGTTCACAAATAAACACAGGTTAAAATGTGGAAGGACGAAGTCAACATCCAAGTCCTAAGGGTTGACAGACGTTTTACAACTTTCTTTAAACCTTTTTTTTTCCCGGATAAAAAGATTTGGAACTGCGAATTGACTAATCGCAGGGCGAAAACAGACTCAGCCATATAATAATCAACGTTATTGCACCATTCCATTGTTTTGAACAGGTGATTAATTTCAATAAACGGAAGAGCAGGTCACTGAGGTGGAAAAGGGGGTCATTATTACGGATACTAACCTAATGATCCACATCACTAGCCACAATAATGACCTGCTGGTTCTAAAACAATGGAAAGGTGCATTAAATCGGATAATGCCCTCGGTCTTCTTAAAAATAATAACTAGAGGTCATCACTGATTGCAGATTCACGTTCCTCACTTACG